GGCTGTGATAAGTTAAAAATGTATACTATAACCCCAAAGAAACCACTAAAATAACTCAACAAAGAGAGCTAATAAACCAACAAAGGTGATAAAATAGAATCATTTAAAAAAAAAAAAAAAAAAAGGACTTAATACAAAGGAAACCTATTGTTCAAAGTGAAATAAACCATATGTGAAAAAAAACATTTTCAATTTCTGATAGGAACTTGAAAAGAATACCATTCTATCCTGGTGTGAAGTGGGTATACTTTGGAAAAGTAACACAAGAAGGCCCTTTGAGCTAATCACAGTCAAATTATGTACATTACTAAACATAATATTTAGTAACAAACAAGATATTGGAAATGTCCTCAAGAGGATAAATCAAGCTTTCTCTCTAAAGGGTCTAACAAGAAGTATTTTTAGCTTTGTGGGCCATGCTGTCTCTACTGCAACTCCCCAACTCTGTCATTGCAACACCTAAGCAGCTAAAAACAATATGTAACAGAATAAGTATGGCTGGGTTCCAATAAAACTTAAATTATAATATAAACATGGCACTGTAGGCTAAGCACCAGACTACTGACCACAAGGTCAGCAGTTAAAACCAACCAGCTGCTCCTTGGGAATCCTATAGAGGGTCACTATGAGTTGGAACCAACTCAACAGCACTAACAAAAGCATAACATAGGTGGAACACAAGAGTTAGGTTACAGGTTAGTTTGCCAAATTCTGACATAAACTCTGGTTGTTGTTGTGAAGTGCCTGCAAGTTGGTTCCGACCCATAGCGACCCTGTACAGGATTTCCAAGGAGCAACTCTGGTAGCAGCTAAAAAAACATAGGAAAAAGTAAAGCAAAGCAGTAAGACAGGACAACTGCCAAAGGAACGCGTGCACAGATACTAATTACTACAGAAATAAAGTTGAGAGAGAAATCATAATCACCCATTTGAGATCAAGAGGGCAGTATTTACCCAAGGACAAAAAAGCACAGAAGGGTTAGAAAAGACGGAGGAATGACAACACAGGGAGGAAGTGGGATAAGTGATGCTATGTTGAGGGGATTGTAATCAATGAGATGAAGCAAAATATGTTATCACTCAATACACAATAAAAACTTCTACAAATATATATGTATGTATATGTGTGTGTGTGTATATATATATATATATAGGGGAGGGGGGTAGAATCCCCACTGAATAGTTTTCACCTTGTCTAGGCAGGTCTGGTGAAAGGAGATAGGGATAAGATTCTTATGATTCAATAGTGAGTAATTGTTATCACGACTAATTGTTACTACCACAATTGTAAAGGCAGAAGTTTTGTAACAAAAAGGGGGGAGTAGTTCATTTTATAGTCCAGGAACAGAAGACCCTAGGACCATCAAGAGAGAAGAGCACAAGCTGAATGTGGGGCCCTATCCAGAGAAGCAGCGACATCAGAAATGGAGAGAGACAGAAGCTAAGGACTCTAGACTCATAGAAAGAGAAAGGTTGTGTGCTGGCAGCCAGAAGGCAGGCGTGCAGAATGGGCCCTTTGGTTGTTTAAATGATCATATATTCCTGAATGTTTCTGAGTACATCCCCTACAAAATAAAACAAAGGGAATAGAAGCAAATACTGTTGAATGATGATGCATGGAGGAGATTGTAATCATTGCAATGAAACAATGAGTGTAAAACCTATGTTCTTCCATGTGAACGATCACTCAGTTCACAATAAAAGCTTAAAAAAGAGAAATCAATGATTGGTCTATAAAAAGTAAGAGTATTTTTAACACTTTATTTTGTAAATGAACAAAATAATAACAATACAAGTCATTTTTTAAAATTTAAATAAAGCATCAATCAAAAATTCAGAAGCATAGGAAAAGGAAGAGGAAGGAAACACAAAACACAGGTTTCTTGTGAAATTACACAATCAAGATGAAGCCAGGTATATGATTTGCTGAATGTCAAACTGATGATGTACTCTGTAAACCTTCATTGAATTCACAATAAAAAGTTAAAAACAAGCAAACAAACAAATCATCTCTCTTACAAGCAAAGGTTAATCCATCATCAAATAACAAACTCACCAACCACAAAGGATGTTAAAAATTTGTAACAATTTGATTTATCTTAGGTCAACACAGATCAGGATAGGTCCTTTGAGATAGAACAGGATCATACATTTTCCTTAGCTAAAAATTTAGGCAAGCCTTTGTTTCGTTGAGCAGAACTCTTGAGTAATGTAGATATTTTATATTCATGCCAAACAAAAAAGGGACCTAGAAACTGCTATATCTTGTACGAAGCTTTACCTTCGTGTCATAATGCTTACAGATCATCTAATGTACTTTCAAGGGTTCATCTACTCTTATATCAGTTACTAATAAGAACAAGGGCAAAAAAAAGATCTACAAGGATTGGTCAACAAGGAAAGCAAAAGAAATTACTGACCTGTTGATGAACTGAATCTCCTGCACCTTTTAAAGACTCCATGGAGACTGAAGCTGCAGCCACCCCAGAAGGCTTAAGTTTAACATCAGCTTTTGGACTCATCAACTTGTGTCTTGTTCTGATATTTCCTTCTGTAGTAATTCCTAATGATTTCCATCAAACAAAATTTCAAAATGCTGTCTTCTCATCCTCTTAAACTCTTTCCCCTATTACTCTCTTCCTTCATAGCCTCTATTTATGAGAACTGATGAGAAAACTGACTGTACAAGCTTCCTTTTCAAGTTATCTTAATAAAAAATAGATCACGGAAAGGGTATGTTTTTAAGATACACATTAAAGATTCTACTGAAATGTTTCTAAAAGGGGCTGTGAACATTGATAAGTAACATTAAAACCAATAAACAGCAAGAACATGGCATCGATATTTTAACTCTGGAGAAATTAAAGCTCTTATTCTTCACATCATTTGGGACCCTTCAAAGGTCCGATTGTACTACTCATCTAGTAACAACCAATGAACAACCAAGTCAACTTCAAAAAATTTCTGGAAAAGCTCCATTATCTTTTCACTCCATTTTTCCTAATAAGTCCTGCATCAAGAAATTTTCACTTAATTTCTTAAATATTAAATTTAGGCTATTATTCTTGAAAAAAGGACTCTTTTGCCTTAATACTTGAATGAAGTATACTATATTGTTTGTAGTTAAGTGCTGTCAAGTCAGTTCCAACCCACAGCCACCCTGTATGGGGTTAATGAGGAGCAGCTGGTGAGCTTGAACCACCAACCTTGCGTTCAAACCGACTTTGCTGTCTAGCGCAGTAGCCTGCAGCACCACCCCAGGACTCCGAAGTATACAAGTCTATCTAAAGCAACCTTCCCAGCATGCCCCTAAGATGAGCCAGCATTTCAAACTTAATAAGGTCAAGCCAAATAGTCTAAAAAGTAATTTCAGGTGCTGATGGACTGCTCGGCCTCCAGTTATACAGGCAAAGTTGTCCTAATGTTTGATTTTTTCCCAATGTAAAGGAAGCTTACCAAATCAGCATTTAAAAAAAACATACCTGGAACATACACTACTGATTGTTCTTCATCAGAAACTATGCAGGACGCTATCAAGGAAAATACTACAAAAAATTATTCAAAATTCAAATGCTGCTGCTGTTCTCTACGTCTGTGATAATGTGTCATTTCCTTTAACCTGAACATTTAAAAACGCCTCTTAAGAACAAAATCAGAAAACAGCAAAATAAACCCACTGCCATGGAACAGATTCTGACTCATAGTGACCCAACAAGGCAGAGAACTGCCCCATAGGGTTTCCAAGGTTAGACATCTTAACAGAAACAGATGACCACAGAGCAACTGGTGGGTTTGAACTCCTGACCTATCAGTTACCAGTCTAGCACTGTACTACCAGGGCTCCCATTTAAAAAAAACAAAACTAGAGAGCAAATTAACTGAATTAGATGTAACAAAATTAATATTCTTTTAACTTCATCATTATATATTTACAATGATACAAGGAGGCTTCAGAAGGTTCATGGGAAAATTCCAGTATTTTTCAATTCTGCTTTTCCATGAGTGTTCTGAAGTCCCTACATATACTTTATTAAAGTTTTAGAAGGCTTTATTTCATGAAACTTTTATCCAATCTTATTCTCAAATGGGATCTCCTGTAATAGGAGCAAATATATTACGTTGAGGTTCCTTTTCCTTTTCTTTTCCTTTTGTAACAAGGAGTTAGATACTCAGTTTGGTGATTACTGGAAAGGTTATTTTAGGCACAAAGAACACAATTTCAAGATGCGTTTTCATTCTGAAGAACAAACAATTTGAGGGCAAGTCAATCATGCAATTTTTACTCGTCTGCAGCGCATTCACAAAATGTCCCAAAAAACTCTGCTATTTTAAAAGAAGATTTAAGACAAAGGAACGATTTTGAATTTCAAAAAGTAGAAACTTGGAAAGGCTAAAATAATAACACTTCTACAGAAAGAGAATCAATATAATATGAAAGATAGCTTTCTTTCCAAAAACTAAATTTTCTTCAGAATTTCTTCTATCTAAATCCACTTATGCCCACAATTTGATAAGCTTCTATTCTACACTTCCAGGAAGTATCTAAATGATTGTTTCCAAATGACCTACAAAATTCTAACATTTTCTGTTATTTTATAAAGTGACATTTTATTTTCCAAAAGTTCTAGACAAAATAATTATTAACGATCTTCTTACTGGAGTCAAACAGTGATTTAATAACATATTCAATATGGCAATGTTTCAGCTCAGTTTCCACCCTAGGAATGGAGAGTTTTCTCAGGGGATACTTATTGGAAAAGCCTATTAAGAATTTAGGAATATTTGGAGTCCTAGTATGGTGCTCTGGGATAATGCACTAGACTGTCAGGTCTGTTTGAACTGTAAGGTCAGTGGTTCAAATTCACCAGCTGCTCCACGGAAACCCTATACAGGGTTGCTATGAGTCATAAGTGACTCGAAGGCACTTCGCAACAACAACAACAAGAGTTACATACTGTCTGAGCTGTGAGAAGGTATCTAACAGCTCTCTATATTAGTCATTTCACCATCACAACTAGTGACTAAACTGTCAATCCCCTCAAACATCAGCTACAAAGCTTGCAAAGTTTTAGGAGGTACAGAAGACAAATTAGAGTCCACCAATTCAAAAACATTGGTAACAATACACATGGTAGCACAGAGAGGATTTCTAAATTCACAGACTACCAAACTAAACAAAGCTTCATGAAACAAAATGGAGCAGGCTCCTCAAAAGCAAAATTGGACTTTTTTTTTCAATGTCCCTTGGGGCTGGTTTAGCCCTACACATGCAGTTGTTGCTGATGTTAAGTACGATCGAGTTGGTTCCAACCCATAGTGACCCTGTATAGGGTTTCTGAGGCTGTAAAATCTTTGGGAGAACAGAAAGAGCTCACCCTCATGGCCCAAAATTCAGCCAAGAAGTAGACAGGTATATAAGACAACACTAGTAAGGTACGCTCACCATGGGATGGTCAATTACTCAAAATCAAAAGGGCACCGTTTACCTAAGGGTAAAGTTAAGAAGGGATGGGAAGGTGAGTGGAATGGATCAGGAACCACAGGAAGGGAGTGGAATAACTCTTGTTACATGGAAGGGACTGCAATCATTGAGAGTATATGATTCGTTGAACGTGAAACTGATGCTCTTGTGTATAAACCTTCACTCAATTCACAAAAAAAGTTTACAAAAAAACCCTGAGCTCAACAAATTTTAAAATAAGACTCAAAATACCTGAAATTGCCTGTAGCCAACCTATCCATTCAGTTGTCATCTATCTTTATCTCATTATCATAATAGCCCAAATATTTACCTTCTTCAACTAGAGTTTCCCAAGTGTAGAGTTTATAGAAAAGTCAAAGATACATAATATATACCCAATATATATTGAACCTATTATTGGGTTGAATTGGGTATGAATCCTGGTAGGGCACTATGGGTTAATACGCCAGACTGCAAAGCTGTTTGAACTGCAAGGTCGGTAGTTCCAGCTCACCAGCTGCTCCTTGGAAACCCTAAAAAGGGTCGCTATGGGTTGGAACCGACTCGATAGCACTTAACAACAACAACATGCCATCTTAGTTCTACTTTGATATCGTTAGAAATGTCTCAATAAGTATGATGGGACTTCAAAAAGTTCGTAGAAAAAATGGAATTAAAAATAATAGAATTGGTCATGTATTCTTTGAAGCCCCCTCTTTCTAGCAAGTTATTGTTATTGTTGCTATTGTTGTTAAGTGCCATCGAGTCGATTCTGACTCACAGTGACCCTGTATAGGGTTTCCAAGGAGTGACTGGCGGGTTTGAACCACCCACCTTGTGGTTAGCAGTCTAGTGCTTATCCTACTGCACCACACCAGGACCCCACAGAATACTAAAAAGCATTCCTAATGCTGGTGCCATCCTATCAAAATCCTGAGAATTAAGTAGAAATTAGAAACCACTGGGGACAGCAGTGATAGGAAGGAAGAAGTATTCCTACCTACCCCAGACCACCAAAATCTTTAGGAAATAAACTTCACAATGGCTACTCTCCTTGGATCTGTTGAGTTTAATCACTTTCCAGCAACACATGCATAAGTAGCCATTACTGAGCATAGTGACTTTCCCCGGCTACTCTCTTATTTTAAGTAGCCTTGGTGGCACCACTGGTCAAGCACTGGGCTATTAACCAAAAGGTTGGCAGTTTGAACCTGCCAGTTGCTCGAAGGATGAAAAACTCTGGCTACCTGTTTTAGTCAAGATTACAGCATAGGAAACCCTAAGGGGCAGTTCTACTTTGTTATATATGGTCGTTTTGAGTTGGAATACACTTGATGACACACAACATTATTATTTTAACATCTACATAAAGTCTTTGTCTATTTTAAATTGAAAACTGCAAGGCTATCTATCATAATGTTTCCACTAAGTCACTTGTAGTCTATACTTAGTAATATCAAGCAAGTAATATTGTTAAAATGGAGTCCTGGTGTTGCGCTGTAGGGTAAGCACTGGACTGTTAACTTCAAGCCACTCCTCAGAAACTCTATGCTGGCTTGCAAATCAAAACAGACTCAATGGCATACAACAACAATATTGTTAAAGATAATAATATACTTGAGTGCATTTAAGCAATCCAATTTGAATACTGCTGGAGCACTATCTTCTTCTGGCATTACTAAGGATGACAAAGAAGGAGAAAGTAATCCACACTGAAGGGGAATATTGAATTTACAGATTTAACCCATAAAATGACAACATGGTATACTCATTGCTTATGATTTAGATATTAAAGCAGACCTTCTACAAAATAGCACAGCTGAGTCATATTTGCAGAAGGGGCATAATTCACAAGACCAGTTGTAAAACAGGTGATGTTCAGTCACCGATGATCTGTCCTCACATGATGGAAACACCTAGAATGGAAAAACCTCTCCATCACATTTCTCTAATTGTTTCAGCAAAGCGTTGCATGTCTTTCTTCATTAATGTAAGAAGAGTACCAGAATAAGAGCCGAGAACGGGACCCTACCCAGAGAACCGGGGATGCCTGAGACGGAGACAGAGATGATGACTGGAGGGATGAAGCAGCTGGGGACTTTGGATCCAGAGAGGGAGAGGAACTGTGGGCCGAAGACTGAGGGGGGAGGAGGGAGTGTAGAACAAGGGCTTCTAGGATATGCCCTTTGGTCAGAAGACGATGCATGGAGGGGATTGGAACCATGGCAATGTAATGATATACGATGGAATGAATATGGAACTGAGGTTCTCTCATGTAAACTATCATATAATTCACAATAAAACATTAAAAAAAAAAAAAAAAAAAGAAGAATACCAGATTAGAGGTACATTTTTTTTTTAACTCAAGTTTTCTTTATAAAGGCCCTTGGGTGGTTTGGGGAGTCATCATGTGACAAGAAAGTAAAGATCCGGTAACACTTGTGTGGCCCTGCAGTATAAACACTGGATGTCAAAGTTGGTTTCAACCACAAGGTCAGCAGTTCAAACTCAACAGCTACTCCTCGGAAACCCTATAGAGAGTCTATATGAGTGGGAACCAACTCCATAGCATTTAACAACAGCAAATCCAGATGATTCATAACTATCAGTATACTTTTTACAAAATAGCCCATAACAAATTTGCATTTGACATTTCTTTTATGTCCTATAAAGATTTAAAACGAAATAAACAAGTATGAGGTTAGGTGTTAGTCATTAGATAGAACAGACTGGGAAAGCAGAGGTTAATACTAGTAACCTTGCAATTCTTTCCATACCTCTGAATTTGTGTAGGATGCAATCACCATCATTACCCTCACTTTCAAAGGGTTAAATTAATGTGAAGGGGAAAAGAGAACATAAAAGATACAGAAGCACAGATGGTTTCTACATGAATGTGGTACTGTAAGACAAGCACTGGAGTGTTAACCTCAAGGTCGGTGGTTCAAACACAAAAGCTGCTCCTTGGAAACCCTATATAGGGTCACTATGAATTAGAATCAACCTGACAGTTGAAACATGAAATAGGCAAGATGTATGACTACATAAAAGAGTGCACAAGGCTACTATAACCAAGATCATAAGTTCAGTTTACATACCTGTTAATTAACTCATTCAGTTCCATGCAAAAGACTGACCTCCCCAAACGTTTATTCTCTATCACACCACCATTGGTCATAAATGAAAGTTAGTAATAAAATCATAGAAATGATTACAGGAATGATTATATTTAAAAGGCATGTTGTTGTAAGCTAATAAGCTCCAAGTAAGTATCTCCTCCAACAACAAAATCCTATAAGAATGTCGAGGAAGCTGTCATGAGAAAAGGCCTGGAGCAATTTCCTGACTTTCTAATCCAACTCAATTGTTCCTGATGCACATACTCCTTTTACAACCTTACTAATAGGTAAAGGAAGAAAATCTTTAACTTGCACAGTGCACTAGTGTGCATTCATCCAGTGTCTATACATGATTTCATTTGATTCTCACCAACCTATAAGAGACAAGTGGTAATTTATGTTTAGCAACACTGTGTAGCAACAGAAGCAAAAAAAAAAAAAAAAAAAAATGCCCCTCTCCAGGGCACTGACGTTTGGATCTTACTAACAAAAGGAACTGATCACACAATTTTGTATGTTTCACTGGAAACTATGTAGAATGTTCAAAGAATAAATCGGTCACAGGTAACAGGAATGCCTCAAATAATACGATCAATAAAAAGACTCGCCTCCAAAGACAATCCATATACTGTTTAATATTCCTCTTTCATGTACACCTCTCTAAATATGAAATAAATAATCCGGACCAAAGCTTAGGTTGGGGCTTAACCTAGAAAAAGAATCACTCCCGTCACACAAACACTTCATCATAGGAATTGAACTAGGAATATCATCACAGACCTTTCATAAAAGCGCCGTAGCTTCTGTACTTGAAAAGGATCCAAAACTTCAATCCCTGCCAGTGGTGGCACACAATCTACATTTAACTCAACACTACTTCCAGGCACCATGATTCTCATCTCTGACAAGCACCCCTGGGCCATATCACCAAACCCCACACCTCCCTTCAAACACCGTGAAATAAACATATCACTGACAGGTCACTAGAAATTCAACAAGATCCAGACTTGCTCTTACCTTCGCAGACTAAGAACAATCCTAAACCAAGGCAAAAAGGGTACCTGGCCAGCTAGCAGCCATCCCTGTCCAGGCAACACCCATCCTTCCCTTAACCTCACTCGGCTCGCACTCACTTAGTTGGGTTGCCAAGGACAGAGGGAGTCCTCACCCCTCAACCCCAGGCTGGGCCACTTTCCCAAAGCTCACCGCCATGTTGGGCTGGGAAGTATTTGTGCTGTGTTCCCACACCTGGGAAATCCAGCACGGAGACCGTATCAGGTTCTCTGCCACCTAATACCCCAGCAATGGGCAAGCCCAGGACCTAGACTGAAGCGGGACAGGTCCCCGCCCCTGAAAGAAGTACGGAGCTTCTGCTCTCCATCCAGAGTCCCACGCCACCCATCGCCCTCGCCACAGCCAGGAGGGCGCCGACGCCCCTGCCATGCAGGTCAAGGATACGATCCCGGCTCCAGAACGCCGCAGCGCTCGGGAGGGAGGGGGTCGCCACGTCCGCCATCTTGAAACAACCGCCACTCGGGGCGTCGTGCCGGGGCTGTCCCGCCCCGACCTCCAGGGTCAGCCCCCATTGGCCGCACGGTGCGGAGACCCGCCCCCGCTTTCGCCGCCGCCGGCCCCTGCTGGGTGAAAAAGTCCGGGTGGAGAACTGGGTGTGTCCTGAAGGCTTAGTTTGGAGCACTGAGCTGGGGCGCGGGAAGGAGAGTCCTGCAGAACTACTACTCCCAGACAAGCTGGGGACCCCCATCTCCGCCCTGCTGCTCACTTAGGCGCTGAAAACTACAACTCCCAGCATGCCGTGAGGTTGACGGCTTAGACACTGAGGCGGGGTCCAGCCTTCCTCCGGGTGGCCAGCCGGGCTCTTCTCACCGGTCCCGGCCGCAATCCCAGTCGCGTGCGGGATGGGGACACGAGCCATGGAGGAGAAGTTGCCCCCACTGCCCGGCAGCAGCAAGCCGCACCTGGAAAAACTGACCCTTGGGATCACCCGCATCCTAGGTGAGTTGGGGCGGGGAGCTGTCGTGGGTGACTGAGACCAAGCTGGATGGATTAGAAGAAAGGAGCCGAGGGATGATGTGCAGAGTGGGTAGCACAACGCGGAGCCCTATAGTCCATAGAGCATCACTTCTATAATGTCCGCTGTTAGGAGGAATGAGGGAGAGCTGGATGCATGACATGGCCCAGGAAGGGTTTGCTGAGAGTACTCGGAGGCAGAACTGGGAAGCCCAAAGGTCCCGCCGGAGGTTCCACCAAGGGGCTCAAGAAAGGATTGGCAAACACCTGCAAAGGAGAGACAGCAGACACTTGACACTGTGGACGTTGTTGGGTCTCCCGAGAGTCATTCTTGCCCAAGACAGAGTATCCTAGAAACCCCACGCCTTCCTCTAGGGTAGCTGGGGAAATGATTCAGCTAAGCTCCCAGAGCAAAAACGACACCACTGAATGGATTGGAGTTCGCCTTCGTGGAACGTTTATTTAGCACACAGCACTCAAGGTCGGTTTGAACCACAATTTCGGCAGTTCAAACTCACCAGCCATTCCTGGGAAACCCTATACAGGATAGGAACCTACTCGACGGCACTTAACTACAACAACACTATGCTAGACTTTGGGGCTGCATTGATGAAAAAGGCAACCTGTGAAAAAGTGAAAATACTAGAACCCTAGAAAGTTGGCAGTGGGACAGCTAACCACAAGGTCGACAGTTCAAACCCATCAGACATTCCGCGGAAGAAAGATCAGGCTTTCTGAAACTAATGTGGTGCTGTAAGATCACTACTGAACTGGGAACCACAGGTCCTATACAGGGTCGCTGTGAGTCAGAACCAACTTGGGGGCACTTAAAAACAACAACAAAGATTTAAAGTCTCAAAAACTCTATACAGGATCTTGATGAGTGGGAACCAACTCGATGGCATCCTAACAAGAGCAGAGAAGGGTGATAAGGACCCATTGTGGTACAGAGTTTAAGCGCTGGTCTGCTGGCCCAAAGGTCAGCAGTTTGAACCCACTGGCTGAGAGAAAGATGTGGTATAGGCTTGGAAACCCTGTGGGGCCATTCTGTCCTGTAGGGTCAGTGTGAATCAGTATGGACTCCACTGCAACAGCTTTGGGTTTACCGAAGCATGGTGTAAATGGCTAAGTGCTCCATTTCCAACAGAAAGGTTGGTGGTTAGAACCCAGCCACTGGTTTGTGACACATGGGGTCCCCATGAGTCAACATCAATTCAACAGCAACTAACAAATGTGACAAGAGTTCAATGACATGTATTTCTCAGAGATATCATAGAAGAAGTAACTACTTTTACCTAAGGAATCTAGGAAAGTTTCTCAGAAGAAATGCTGTTAGATTTTGAACCACAAATAGGAGTTAGCCAGACAGGAGAAAGGTAGTCTAAGCAGGCTGGAAAGCATGCCTTTCCATCACATTCATAATAATGTCCGAATTCTGTATCATGATTCACACATGTCTATGACAAGCCCTTATCTGTGTTTCTGATCTTTTCACTCTGCTGGAAGACCTTTGCAATTTTCTAGAATAATCTTTCCAAAATAACTTCCTTTGGATCCTTTAATGTGTCTCTCCTTCTTGTTGTTAAGTGCCATTAAGTCACTTCCAACTCATAGCGACCCTGTATAGGATTTCCAAGGAGCAGTTGGTGGGTTTGAGCCGCTGACCTTGCGTTTTAAGCTAACTTGTGATCCAGTGCATTATCCTTCAGTGTCACACTCAGATCTCTGATTAAGTATCACAGCCTCAGAGAAAACCAAAACTAAGCCCAAACCCACTGTCACTGAAAATTCCAACTCACAGCGTTTCTGAGACTTGAAATCTTTATGGGAGCAGCCAGTCTCATCTTTCTCCCACAAAGAGGCTGGTGGGTTTGAACTGCTGACATTGTGATTAGCAGTGCAGTGCTTATCCTACGGTGCCATCAAGGCTTCAGAGAAACCTACATTAAATTTTGTCCTAATAACACTTTTTAAAAAAATTTTCATAGCTTTCATCATCACTTCAAATAATATATTCACCTGATTGCTTTTTAAATTGATCTCTTTTATATAATAGAAGTACCATGAGGGCAGGAACTTTGTCTTATTTTCTCCAGTGCCTAGAACTGTGAACAAGGCGTGAAACCCTATGATGTGTTTGGGAGAAGTGATGAGTTTTAAAGATGAAGTTACAAAATGGGATCAGAAGATCTGTCAAGACCACCCATTATTTTATGTCTTTATTCTTATACAGATTCTTATCTTGTTACTTCCTATACTGAGAGTCTCCATCTGGCAGGTTTTGCCATTCCACGGTCATGTTTTATTATTCTATTTATAAGTCTTCTGTTGTTAAGTGTTGTTGAGTTGGTTCTATTAGCAACCCCATATAAGGTGTGCGAGGCTTCAAATCTGCAGGAACACAAAGCCTTATCTTTCTTCCACAGAACACCTGGTGGTGGTGGCTGTGTGTAGAGTCGGTTCCAGCTCACAGCAACTCTGTACCGGGTTTCTGAGGCTGTAAATCTTTACAGAAGCAGAACGCCTTATCTTTCTCCAACAGAGCAGCTGGTAGTTTCAAACTGCTGACCTTGCAGTTCGCAACCCGATTCGTAACCACTATGCTACCAGAGCTCCTTACAGAACACGTAGTGGGCTTAAATCACTGACCTTGTGGTTCTCAGTCTAGAGCTCATTCTGTAGAGCCACTGCTCTCCCTTATAAGTCTGTTTTTGTTGTTACATCCTATCAAACGGGTTCCTACTCGTAGTGACCTTTTATAGGGTTTTCCAGGAGCAGCTGGTAAGCTTCGACTGCCAACCTTGTGGTTCAAACCAACCTTGCAATATAGTGCATTAACTCCCAGTCTGACACCAGGACTCCCCACTATAAGTCTAGGACAGTCTATATACATAAATTATTTTCTTTTCAGGGTCCCAGGTAGCATAGTGGGTTCAGCCTTGAGCTGCTAGCGTCAAAGTCAGAGGACTGAACCCACCAGCCACTCCATAAGAGAAAGATGTGGTTGTCTGCTTCTATAAAGATTTACTGCCTCAGAAACCCTATTGAGGTAGTTTTGCTCCGTCCTATAGAGTCACTGTGTGTTGGAATCAACTTTACAGCAGTGGGGTTTTGGTTTGGTGATAGTTAATAAATTCCAGCAGACTAACCTTCCCTGAACTATCAATGTGATTTAAAGCCCCAAGTAACTAGACATCTGTAAACACTTCAAATTGCATTTATAAATATAACATATTCTACCTCCATCAGTATCAGCTCTTGGCTGTTACTATGAGGTGGAGGTCAGACATGTTGTACCGCCTTCTTTCTTCTTTTACTAATTCTGATACCAATCATCATCCCTCCTAGGACATACTTTACTTCTCTGCTAGGTTTGAAAATTCATTGTTAAGTGACTACACAGAACTCACCCACAGTACTCATGATTATGTGGTTGATGAGACACAGGTTACAATTCAATATCAGAAATGTTCAGGATAAATTTTTTCTCCCAGTCAGGAGCACCTATTTCCCGTCTTGCCCACAAGTGCACCTCTCTCTGGTCCATGGTCTGTCAGATACGCAGCCCTGCTCTGGCAAGTGTTATGGTGGTGGTGATGGTGATGATGTGCCATGGAGTCAGTTCCGACTCATAGCGACCCTGAACAGGATTTCCAAGGCTGTAAATCTTTATGGGAGCAGAAAGCCTCATCTTTTTCCCGCAGAACAGCTGGTAGTTTTGAACTGCTGACCTTGCGGTTCGCAGCCCAATTCATAACCACTATGCTACCAGAGCTCCTTGGCAAGTTTACAGCAATGCTTATAAATGCCCAAAGGACACTCCACTCATCAAGCCACCTTCCTGCCTGAAGGCTCTCAGCTTTACTTACTCTGAGGCCAGGAAGCCTGCCACTCTGTCTCATTCTCTGGCTCTTGGTTCTGCTGCTGCCATTTCTCCATCACGCCACTGCACCATCACTTCTCAGGTATCACAGCTCTCTGTCTCTTGGATTGAAGAGATTCAGCACAGGGATCTTAGGATCCAAAGGACATGTTCTACTTCTGGCTGTTTGTTCTTGATGGTTGAGAGAGCTCCCTGTTCCTGCTTCTGAAATGACTCATTTAAAACCCAGCAGAATGGCAAAACTGACCAATCCCCATGCTAGAATTTTATACACCCTATTGGCATTGTCCACGGTCTACTGGTGTGCCTCTTAGGATAAGCGCTTGACTGCAGGGTCGGTGGTTCATACTCACCAGCTCCTCCTCAGAAACTCTGTGCCAAGGTCACTATGAATTGGAACCAACTCGATGGCATTTAGTAACAACATCCTCCCAATCATTTGGTGAGAGTTTAAAAGACTAGAAGAACCATTATCAAGTCAATTCGTTACACCACACCACCTAAGGAATTAAGCAATTCTAACCTTGCTAAACAGTCTTATGCTGTTTATAAATTTTGATCTAGAATTCTTATAATTTCAAATTAAAAATAAGTCTAAAATCAGTTTTTTCACATTTGTTTTTATGTTCGAGATGATATATCAAAAGTTAAAGAAGAATGGTAGCAGAAGTCAGTGATAGGTGTGTAATAAGCATCTTCCTAAAACCCCCCCAAATGATAAATAATTCCACAACTTTGATGTTTCTACGCCAAAGCAAACTCAGCATTGTTTGAAGATAGAGAATGTCAAATGTGCAAAGTAACTATAAGTAAAAAGAGAAAAAGCAACAAACCCCAGCACACCAGCTTCCATCTGTACCTACTCCACACCTTCACTGCCACAAGGTTCTGTGGCAAGCAAAGCAAACCTGGAATTATACTAGTAAAGAAACCTAAGAGGCAGTTGGAGTGACAAATGGAAAGATTAAAACCACCTGAAAATACGTTCATAACAACAGCTGAGCACATGGGAACAGACCAGCATAAAAGTGATTGCAAATCCGGTGCCATGTAAAGGGGCGGCTGTGAAGCTTGAGGGGACAGCTCTTTTTAAAGGAGCAAG